GGGGGGGGGGGTGTACGTGGGAGGCAAGGTGTACTAGAAATCTCTGAACCTTCCTTTTAATGGTGCAGAGAACCTAAGATCCAGGTCATGTCCTCACAGCCATGAGATCAAGCCTCATGCTGGGCTCCGGACAAGGGAGAGCCGGTGGGAGAGAGCTGGAACCAGGGAGAGCACAACCGGGCCCCGAGGGTCCACAAGGGGTCAGGAAGCCCTGACCGTGCAGGAGCAAGGACAGAGACAGAGGCACAAATAGGACAGGGAAAGGGGCATTCGGGCTGCAGGCGGGGGGTGGCAGGGCGCATAATTCACAAGCTGGTCTGGCTGCTTCCTGAGGCCACTTCTGGAACCTTCCAGCAGGGCCCCCGCAGTCCGCAGGAAGCTTGCGCAAGTATCTGCTGTAAGAGAAGGTATGCGTTGTGTGCCCCTCTCCCTCCACCTTGCCTGCCCAAAGCTGTGCACAAACGTTCTGTTCAGGAACCATGGGGCAGAGAGGCTGGGCCCAGGCCTGCCTCATGCCAACGTGTTCGGCATCAGGTGCTGGAACATTCCACGTTTGGATTCATTTTCAAGATCCTAAAATTCCAGAGCCTCTGGCCAGCTCAGTGGGTGGAGCGTGCGACTCTTGATCTCAGGGTTGTGAGTTTGAGCCCCACACTGGATATAGAGATTACTTAAAAATAAAATGGCAAAAAAAGAAAAAAAAAGGGGGGGATCCTAAAGTTCCAGCGGAGGCTAATGGCATGAATAAAAAGTACAGAAGCCGAACGACAGGTGATCTGCACCTCATGGTAGCAGTCCTAACGTTAAAATTAAACTTGAAGTCAACATCTCGTGGAACCAAACTCTGCACTGAAAAATCCCTCGAACTTGGTTTGGGGCCGATAATTCCATAAGTGACAATCCAGGTCTAGGCAAAACTACCCACAGTATTTATGTCTGTCTGTCTCTCTCTCTCTCTTTTTTTAGAGGGAGAGAGAGCAAAAGCAAGCAGGACAAAGAGGCTGAGAGGGAGAGAGAGAGAATCTCAAGCAGGCTCCACACTGACAGCATAGAGCCTAACTTGGGGCTCGATCCCACAACCGTGAGAGCAGGACCTAAGCCAACAAGACTCAGACACCCAGCCAAGCCACCCAGGCGCCACTGTCTTTCTTTTTTAATCCAAGTATGCTTCCTGGACATTTGGAATTTTCGGCCACGCATGCCGTGCAAGGGCGAAATAAACACGTACGCGATTTGACATCTAAACACGCTGGTTCCCGTTGGAAACTGGGATTAAAAACTTGCCACGCCTACCACTGCTGCCCACTCTCTGCCCCCTCATGACAATCTCAAGGGCTACTTTTCAGGGTGCAGGGTGCTGCCCAGAGGCACGAGAGGTCAGGAAATACACGCCCCAGGGCCTGACAAGATGTGGTTCTTCAGTCTGCTCGGAGCAGCCATTTCAGCGAGAGGTGGGGGCGACAGACGCCAGAAGGGGCTTACCGTGGGCCTTGAGCCTCATACCAAGAGGGAGGGACCCACAGCTGGACCCACAGCTGGACCCACAGCTGGAGGAGGGAAGGGAGCACTGACCGGGACTGTGGGTGAGCTGGGAGAGGGAGGAAGCAGGAAACTGCTCTGCAGCCCTTCCCGGGAGCGCAGCCCTGGCCCCTCACCTGCCCTGCTTGGCCTCCAGGCTCTGCAGCAACCCGACATGCAGACAGGACACACGGACAGAGATGGGAGAGAAGAAAACACGTGAAGCCGGAGCCCAGATGCGGCAGAGGGGACAGGGCTCCCCGGTTCAGCGGGGAGAGCAAGGACAGCAGATGAGCACCTCAAGGCCACACACGACCCCTCCTCATCACCAGTAGCTCCGTGGGGTCTTCAACAGGGTCCAAGGGACTCCTGAGACCACACAGTTTGCGCACCCCTCCCCGGGAAAACCTCTCTGCAACACGGTGTCCTAGGGGACCTGTTCTAGTACATTCCGCGGCAATGCTGTTCCTGACAGAAACCCTGGACCCCGAATGGAGGCGGGAAGGGGTGTAACTGGCAGGCTACAGCCAGTGTGACAGTCTAGCCTGCACCTGTTTTTGTAAATAAAGTTTTATTGGGCTCCTCCTGAGACACGCCCATTCATTTGCATACTATCTCCCAGGGCAGGGGCGAGCAGTCCTCACAGAGACAAATATTTACATAAGGGGTTTGCTGACCTGGCTTAGCGGGAATGCCCTCCAGCTGGGAGCTGGGGGGAGGGGGGGGACCCTGCCTCGAACAGGCTGAAGGGCAGGACTCTGCTGCCCGACTCTGACTCTGCCCTTCAGGAAATCGGGGACAGCGTTCAGGAAGAGCCAATTTGAGCTGGTGGGGTGCGAGGACACGAATGACCCTCGCAAGGCTGTTCTCAGGGCGCCATTCAGACTGATCCTTCAGACTGTCCTTAGCACAGCTTTTGAGGCCCGTGAGGCCGATTTAGCTGTTTTCCTAAAGTAAATTATCTACTAAATCAGTACTTCCCAAGTGGCGGCAAATGCAGGGAACGAGCCGCCCCCCCCCCCCCCCCCCCCCCCCCCCCCCGGCGTCAGCAAGGCCAAGGGGGAGAAACCCAGAGCCCACGGATTCATTGCACCTTTACCGCTAACCGGCCGGACCTGGCCATGACCGCCCTGCTTTCTCACCAGGCCGCACGACACCCACTTCCTTGGGCAGGGAACGTGGGGAGATTATGTGAAGAGCACAGCACTGCACCTGAGCTCAAGTCACCACGAAGGACAGCCATTGTCATTTTCATGGGCAGCCAAAAAAAAAAAAAGGGCGCCAGATGCCTCTCGCCCTTGCCCAGGCTGGGCCTGCCGCCCGAGTCCCTGCCCCCATTCCGCCTTCTTGCATTTCCGCCAATCAAGCGACATAACCGCCAACCTATTCAGCCTAAACAACCCGGCCACGAAACCCTCCCATATCCTGGAGAAAGACTCAGCTAGGTTCTGCTTTATCGGCTCAATCAACCTCCCTGCAGCCCTTGGACTACTACATGTTTCTTTTGGGGGGGGGGGGGCGAGGAAGGATTACAAAGACTCTAGAACATTCTGTGGAAACAGCCTCTTGCCCCCACTGGAAACTGCACAGCTTTCTATCACCTGTTAGCTTGGTCTGTTTGCAGACTTGACTCACTGAGGTGCTGCTATATAGGCCTTTGTCCCCGTCCTCCCCCCCCCCCCCCCCCCCACCCCGTCGCTGTCCACACCTCCCGGCAGCCAGGCCAGGGCCTCGCCCTGCATCCTTGGGGAAGTTGCATCACGCTCCAGGCTCGGCTTCCTTATCCGGAAGCCAGAAGTGACGACACATTCCCTCACAAAGCTGCCGAGTGGGGCCCGTCTCTCATCGCTGACATCCTGAAAATTAAAGGTACAACATACGTGTCTAACGCCTGCAGGTGTTCGTGTTAGCGTCCCGCTTTATAACTTACACAGGAGTTGTAAGGACTTCTGTGTGGATCAGATATCACATTACGAATGAAGGGTGATGGGGGTTTGATTACGTGGGCGTAGACATTGGTCAAAACTGCAAAGGGTCCGTCTGCTTTTGGTGCGTCTATCTCACTGTATACAAATGCCACCTTAAAAAAAAACACACACACACACAACCACACACAAACTGATATTGAACTCTCATGACAGGCGTGCTCAACTATTTAGAGAGAGCGTGAACTAGCGTCTGCAACTTAGTTTGAAACGAGTTCCAAAACATACAGTGGCTTGGTGGACAGAGAGGAGGGCAGAGCAAACTGCAATGACGCGAATATGGAGACGCAAATGCAGAGAAGCGTCCGTGGGAAGGCCCAGGGGTGGGTGCTTAGGTGTTCATGGCTCTTGTGACTTTTCTGCAGGCTTGAAATGTAACAACTGTAACACGCGCCACCTGGGAGAAGCTCACAGCTATTCAAACTTGAGGACAGGATCCAGCCCACCTCTGAATTACACTGTGACCTGTTTCAGAGGTTCTCAGAAACTCCGCTCCACGAAGAGACTGAGTGGCTAATAGAAGTCAGCCTGGATGCCACAGAAATGAGCCGTTGTTGGAGGCGGAAGACAGCACCTCGGCAGAGGTTACTCACAGCCCTGCCTTTTTTCGAAGTCGCAGGCGACCAAACAGTCAAAGCCCCCAGTTCGCGGGACCGGCTTCCCCTCCCCAGGCAGGGCGGGCTAACTCAGATTCTTAAGACATTGAAGTCATCCTGCCTGTCGCAGGAAGGAGGTGAAAGGTCTCCCAAGGGCACCACAAGCCCAAGAAATTAATCATCAGGTCTCATTTCGTGGTAAGCACGCTGGATCCTCCCAGCCCCCAAAAATCCTGGCGGGCCAGGCGCAGTGTTGATTTCTCAATCGAGACACCAGATGGCGGCAGTACCCACTTCAAATGCAACAACAAAGTCAGGCACGCGCACCCCAACTGAAGACTTTTAATCCGGTACAGTCGCTACACCGCTGTCCCTACCGCGCACCCAACTCTGCGATGGCCCCTGCAGATGGGACTGGCGCTTGGTGTCGTGCTATCTTATCCCACGCCCAGGGAAATCCCACTCACAGGACGTGCCATCTCCCCAGAGATAGCGACAAAAACGGAAACCCCCCTGCTGCCCCTGGAGAAAGCGTCCCAAGTGTGGGCAGCTGGGAAAGCAAGGGTGGCCATTTTAAACGCCACCAGGGGCCCAGGGAGAGAGCGAGAAGAAAGGAGACGGAAAAGCGGGGCCCGCAGACCCGTGGAAAGCACAACGTCCCGCTCGCTCTGCACAGCGGGCCCAGAGCGGCGGAAATTCCTGGCGAGCAAGCGCCATCTCCGGACTCTGAACAAGCGGATCCAAATTTCCAGAAAACAGATTCTGTGGGGTCAAACTCTAAATAGGTACAGGCCGTGGGCCAGCAGCGTGTGTTTCAAAGAAAAAACCTGCTCCCCTCCATCCCAGTGTCTGAGTAAGCGATTCGAGGCTCTTCCTCGAAATTCATCCGTCCTCCATTGGCCACCTCCAACTTCTTTCTCTAGAAATCATTGGGAGGGGAGCTTCAAAAAACCGGGCAGGCAGAGTTAAAAGCCCAAACGCTACGGACTGGAGTGCCAGCTTCCTGCCCGGTATGTCGATCTGCGAGTGGAGCCTTTGTTCCTGGCTCAGGCATTTGAGGTTTCTGTGGAGACGTGAAGCGGGACCGGACGAGGGGCGGGGAGAGTATATGTACTACGCCTGGACCAGGCAAGAACAAAGGTGCTGGGCGGGCGGCAGCCGGCGGGGCGGGTTTACCTGCTTGCCCCTGTAGAAAAGCCTCTGCAGGCCTGGCTCCACGTGGAACAGCCCCTGGATCTTCCTCCTCAGCTCCTCCACCTTGGTCAGCCTGGACAGCGAGTCCACAGTGTGGGCCACCTTGCCGTCCATGGTGCGAACCTGGATCCACATGGCGTCTGCTGGTGCTGAGGGGGAGAGAGCGGGACCCCTAGGTCAGTTCCGTTGCTGCTGCCACCACCAGACCGTGCCATTCTCAGGTCACCTTGGCCTTTGTCCACCCTGAGTACACTAGGAAACTCCTCGAACGCCCTCCCGGCGCGTGAGTCCCCGAACTAGCCACAGCTGACCAGGGCCCGGCAGAGGAAGTGAAGGAATTAATGCATTAATGACCAGCAAGGGCGGAGAGGCGAGGAGGGAGAGTAAATTAGGGGAAGGCAATCGGCGTCTCGGACCACTCACTCCAACCCACTCCGCCTTTCACAGAGGGAAGACAATCATGTCCAGAGGAGGAAGGAGGACACGGCCGAACGGTGAGGGGCCAGGTTCGTTCGTTTATTTCTTCATTCATTCATTCATTCATTCATTCATTCTCTGAATTAATACTGACGCAAAGGGAAAACCCAAAAGTCCGGCGCGGATTAGAACTTCAGAAGTCCCAGTAACTCAACTAAGTGTGACCCAAGGGGG